GGTTCGAGCCCTGGTCCGGGAGGATCCCACATGCCGCGGAGCAACCAAGCCCGCGAGCCACAACTACTGAGCCCGCGTGCCACAACTACTGAAGCCCGTGCGCCTAGAGCCCGTGCTCTGCAACAAGAGAAGCCACCGCAGTGAGAAGCCCGCGCACCGCAACGAAGAGGAGCCCCCGCTCGCCGCAACTAGAGAAAGCCCGCGTGCAGCGACGAAGACCCAACGCAGCCAAGAATAAATAAATAAAAATAAATTTATAAAAAAAACAGTGGGGCTTTAGGACCAACACCAATCCATTGCCAAGTGTGCACCTCGGAACAGAAGTTCTCTCTCCGTGGTTATTTCTAAGGCAGGATTCACGACCTTCCCCTGACCCGCCTTTCTGGAGAAATGGGACAACCCCACTTTGTCCTAAGGAACTCTTTCCACAAGTCAGGCAGAGGTACAACCTGCCCACAGTCCGAATGGGTTTGGGTAAAGAAACCTGCCAAAAGCTGTGCTCTAGTCACCTTGCCAAGAAAGCACTATAGGTCGGAAACCCCACTTGGAGCACGGCTTCACCTCCCACACCAGAGAGACCCAGTTTGCATTTCCCCAGCCCAGCAAACGCGAGGACACAATGGCATCGGGTGTGCGTGCACGTCTGTGTGTGTGTCTACGTGCATGTTGTACACACGTGTGCACTTCACTGCCTGAGAAGGGGAGGTCGGAGGGCTGCCGTTCAGGCCTTCAGGCTCTGGTTCTTCACAGACAGAATTCTCAGAGGATCTCAAACCTTATCCTGTTTGAAAAGAGGAACATTTCAATGCTCTTCCTTTCAAATGGAATTGTTTTTGGTTCCTTGTTTCTTTACCAAAACAAAAACAAAAAGAAAAACACATACCCTCTAGCTTAACGTTTAAATAAACGAACTCTACTTAAGGTCACATGAACAGAACAACTTTCTGCCTGCTGAGGGCTCACCGCCCGCCTGTGTGTGCAACGTGCGCTCTCTATTGCTAAGGGCGGGGGCGGCTCCCATGCAGTCTGGGCTCGCTGCTCTGGGGGCTCCCTCAGCAGACGGCCCCCCACACTGTCTCCGTGACTCTCCTGGGCCCCCCTCTTCCTCTTCCACTTCCTGGAAAGAGTTTCCTGTTCGGAGAGAGATTTCCTTGAGAAATTCTAGGAGTTCCACGCACTGCCGTGAGCCTGCATTTCAGAACCTCCCATGGGGTCCCGTCTGGAGACGCCGGAAACCCCTCCCAGGGCCCCTGGTCTGTGGGCAGCAAGCTGAAGGGCTGTGAGGCTGGAAGGACACGGGAGAGGCGGGCGTCCAGTGGGGGATGGAGGCCGGCCGGGGCGTTCTGAGTTTAAGGTGCTTTGGCGTCACCCCAGTCGGACTCAGAGGATGTTAAAGACGCAGGACAGAGCCCCAGGCGACCCGGGCATGTTTGCACGGAGGGAAGTGGGGCGCGTGGGCTGAGGGGAGACGTTCAGCAAGCCAGGAGGGGAGAGAGCCGGCAGGGAGGTGGGGGGGGGGGGGCCCCGGACCAGCTCTGGCCCCAAAGTCCAAGTCAGGGAGGCCCCACTTCAGAGCAGCTGGGCCTGTGCCTGGCGACACCTTGAACCCCTGGGAGGTCCCAGCGCCAAGCCTGGAACCCCGTCCTCAGGGGCGTTGAACCGAGGACAGGATGGAGGCCCTGCCGTCTGAGGATGATGGGGGCCTGGGGGAGCAGCCGATGGGAAGCGTCAGGACCCAGAGGCTCCCACAGGCTGGGCCGCTGAGGCCCCCCTGAGCCTCCCCGAGGCCCTAGGACATGAGCTCGGCGAGGGCGGGGCCCTGGGTCGGGCTTGGAGGTGGTAAATGCCGGGAACTGAGACAGTGCCTGGCGTGAGGCAGGTGCTCGGGGCTCGTCAGGTGAGGCCGATCGCGGGTGACAGGTGCGCTGGAGGAGTGGCCTGGAGCCTTCACGCGGCTGCCAAGTCTACCTCGGAGAGGCCGGGGGAACAGGAGGCCAGCCTAGGGGAGAGGCTCAGAGGAAGGCTCCGGTGACAAGCGTGGGCCCAGGGCAGGAGGCGCGGGGGAATGCGGGGACCGACTTCAGTGGTGAGGGGGTCGTAGCTGGAGAGGCCTGGGCGGGGGGGGAAGCGGGGTCCCAGGCGGGGTGGGGGGTGCCTGCAGAGGAGGGCGCATCCGACAGGCCGCGCGGGGCCTCCCTGGGCCCGGTCACGGGGGCAGGAGACCGCCGCACGTGGCTGTGTCATGGGGCCCCGCGTCCCAGTTCTTCCTGGGAAAGAGGCACAGCCTCGCTCGGCTCAGCGGGAAGGGAGGCGACGCCCGCAGGTGGCCCGGGACTCCTGCAACGCGCACGTGGTGGGCCAGGAGACCCCTGCACGCCCACGCTGGTGCCCCCGGGACGGCGCCGCCTGCTCCTCCAGAGCTGCTCTCAGGGCACGCGGGGCCCTCGAGTGGACGCCTCACGTCCCTTCTCACCAGGGAAGACAATCCCTATTAGAGCCAAACTGTTGTTCCCATTTACCTGGAGATTTTCCAATATTTTGAAGGATTGTGTCCAGAGCCGATTGTTTCACATGTTGATCATTGTCTGAGTTCTTCTTTCCTGGAGGAAAAATAAGTATAACGATCAAGCTTTGGTGAAGAGTTAAGGCAGGATTCCAAACACCTTTTCAGCTTTAGACAACCACGAGCTCTGAGAAAGCAGTATTTCGCAGAGCACGTGATGTGATATGGCCTCGGGTGAGGCTGTTGAAACATCCCTCCTTGCAGGAGCCCAGAGCCGGGAGTGCGTGCTGGGCACTCAGGCACGGGGTGGAGGCCACGCCTTCTTGCTTCCCGTGCGCCTCTCCTCGCTCTGAGCACACGCTAGCGTCGTCTGTGTCGTCTGCTGTGCGTGCTGTCACTGCTTCCTTCTATGCACGATGCTCCTGACCGCTTGGCTGCTGTCCTTGGTCCTGGACACACACTTTATAAGATGCTTCACTCCTCCAAAGGGCGATTCTCCACCCTCCCTCCTGTCCACCCCTTTGCACGCGTAATTGCGTGGGACTCGCTGGTCCCGCTGCCAAAAAAGGGGAGCAGCACGAGCGGTGGGGGCCCCTTCAGGCAGCCTTTGCCCATGAGGGTCCCTGTTGTCGGGGGATGAGCTCCCCTGCAGGAAGCTGCCCTTCCCACCCGCACTACTCACAAAGCTCACCAAGAAGACCTGCCTCCGTTCAGTTTTCCCAAAACTCCATAGAAGTACAGCCTGGAACACTGAAGAAAAACCTTCAGGTTTAGACGTTTATATTTGTCGAACCCATGAGAAATAGCTAGTCGTTGGCTACTCTGTGGGTTGTTGGGAAAGAGCCCCTGGTTCTGAGCAGATGCTCAGTAGATAGCTACCGAGTGAGTGGATGAATCTTTTGTTAAAGCTAATGTTAATAGGAAAGTAATGATTATGGCATAAAATTATATCTATCCCGTGGGACACTTTGATCTCAACAGAGCCCCAAGTCTAAACCGGGCATTTAGGCACAGTCAGGATGTCGGGGACAGTGTCAGGGACCAAGAAGACTTTTCAGACACCCCGGAAATCACAGAGGCAGAGCTGGCTGTGCTGGCAACAAGGAAGGGAAGATGTCTGCAGTTCCAGTATCCTTCAAGATGCTTCAGGCTTTAAAAATACTAAGCTAAATTTTATTTAAGTACCCCATTTGTATTTTTTTTTTCTTTTTTTTTTTTCTTTT